CCTTTCTGGTCTAATGGAAATAAATGATTTTGACTTTGAATTGAATCATTGAAAACTAGCGAAGTATCTACCTAGGACAAAGAATAAAAATTTAAGAAACTAACATAGGTAAAACATAATTCCATATAGAGATCATACGTAGGTATCTACAACTTAGGTGCAACTTAACAAAAACTTGTAATTTAAGCTTAACCAACGTTAGGTCACCCATTTTGCCTATTACAGTCAAACCTACTTCAAGCAACCGGTTTAGAAAAAATGTTAAGCATGTCGATTAAATCCCACATCGTTGTAACTGTTAAAAAGAAAACATGTAGTTCTTTTGAAATTGAAATAGTTGACAGAAAACGCTTCGCTATAAATTATATGTAAACGATGGGAAACGAATAAATAAGTATTATAGAGATAGAAGAAAATCATTTTGTTATGCTGTTCGTACGTCTGTTACGTTTAACCAGTCGTATGTCTAAACGTGGATCCATGCGAGACACAATGTATTTTCTATTTTGTCTCGTGCATTCTAGCGATTAAACAGCAATATAGCGGAGGCCCAATTACCCTTCCCTTCCCCAATCTCCCCAATTCCTGAATCCCCAAACGATCCTCAAACTCCTAATCCCCAAAAGGCCGGTAACGCACTTGTAAATGCCTCTGGTGTTCCAGTTGTCCATGGGCGACGCCGATTGCTTACCATCAGATGATCCCTCTTGTCGTCTACCGTTCTCTCTCCAGTGGAATATGGACACCCTCTAAATGAGATAGAGGGTTTGCTGAAGAAATTCAGAAGATGAATCAGTGAGTGTGTTACAGAATGTGTAGTAACATCTATATATTGGACAAAGACCAAGTATTGTTTGTAGCACAATGAAAAGAGTAGACTTAAGTAATTAAAGTAACTATATAGAGTTTTAAAATGAGTAATAGTTTAAACAACACTATACTAAATAATTAGGTACAATCAGTTAATAATATATGCCTATCTAAATTCTTACACCCCATAAAACGCAAGATTCTTTTTATTATTTCGTTAGAACACCATTCATAATTAACAACCCACATCATAGATAAGCGAGCTATTTCTGATTTGAAACAAAATAAGATTTTGATGAAAGAAATCCTACCTGAGTTATTTGGACCCTTTGGGTTACGTTGCCAAATAACCTTGAAGCTTATTATGGCAGATGGAGGGTTAACCTTCAAAAAGTATAATAAATTGATGGGTTAAAAGTGCTTAAAATTGCTACTTAGTAACCAGTTGGTAGGTACTTTAAAAGTTTGGTAGTTAGGCAGCAAGTAAGGCAATTAGTTTTCGTTATTTACAACTCTGATACTAAAGTATCATCTACCTAAATAAAGAGTTTGGTATCATTGATCATTAATTTATACTCAGCATTATCTATACTATTTATTAATTCTTCCTTTAACTCGTTGAGTACCGTCATTATAGACACAATTAAAGAACAATAGTGTCTACGGGGGTGTCTGGGTTACGGTCACCGGTGTCCTCGCGGTGTTTGACAGTTTAAGATATGATACATTATAGATTTCTTTACGACATATTTTGTTCGAAAAATTAGAAAAACATCAATTAAACTGTTTCAATACCAAATACGTCGCTGCTGACCTGAATATCCCTAAAGAGTTGGGGTTTTTTATGATTTCTAAACTACCTTCCAATTGTGGTGATACATAACATGTCTAACCAGTAGGCTCAAAATATTTTAAACTGTCAAACACCAAGCGGTCACCGGTGACCGCAACCTATTGTTCTATAATTGTGTCTACAAAACCGGTACTCGACGAGTTAAGGGTCTATAAACCAACAATAATCAGTCTTCATCTTCTGCCAGTATTTGCACATTATTTTTAATTTCTACGCCTGCAATATACCCATTTGTTACAATTTTGAGTTAGATACCATTACGTTACAGTAAGCTAACTTATTGGATAAACGAGTCAGATGACTCACAACTTCTTTTCAACCTTCAGTTCTAAGACATGCTGGTTTCGCACGAGCTTTTCTTTTTTCATTCATAAATGATGAAACATACAAATTAGGTACACTTGAGCCGTTCCTGACTCACCACGACCAAACAAATGAGAGGTCGGTAAAAAATGACTATTTATGAACCTTTATTTCATCCAAAGATCATAACAACAGATACAATGCGAATAAATAGCAATTAAAACGAATTTTCCTTGTAATTTAAAAAAAAAAGGTTTTGCGGAAGATGCATTAATCAATCGTGGTCACATTCGATAATACATCATGTTATTTTCAAATTAAAATTCAGAAGAATTGGTGCTTATTTCCCAGTTTCTAATCGAATAGTACAAACGTACCTGCAACGCCAGAGGAGGTACAAGTACCTACGTAGTTGGCTTATGGGGAATTCAGTGATTGAGGATTGGAGATGGTAAAATAAAAATAGGTGGTGTTCTTACACACCCTTCCATCTTAACTGCACCGCATCTAAACAAATGTTTTTTTTTCTCCTCATATAATATCTTCTGATTTATTCCATTGTAGGTTCGTTGACAGTTAATCATGTTCCTGAGACGCGCCGGACTTCAGTGTTCCGGTGTATGCATGGTTGTATTTACTATAGATCCTGGCTTACAGGAGTTGCAGTGCTTTTGGGGGGTTGTGGCGTGGCGGGCAAGTCCCAATAAAAAAAGCAAATTGAAAACCCCAAACAATATTAATAACATTTCCACGACAGTTATTCTTTAAAATATTCAAAGTAACCACAAATCGTGACGTCAAACAGGACCACTTGGTCCTTTGAATCGTACGTTTGCTCGTATTGGACGCAATTTCGCGCCCACCACCATTTGCATGTAAATTCGACGCGAACGCAGCGCAAAGAACCGTCGTCGCATGCTAGTTGAATATTGATGTAATAGTCCGGTTAGGGATGATGGACCAGAAGGACAGAATAATGATCGTAATATTGAAAAGGATAAAGGGTTTATTTTAGACATTGGAGAGTGTGTGTGCATGTAAAAGTTATGATAATTTCGTCTACGAGGAAAACAACAAAATGTCATAATTATGTTGGTAAGTACCTATATATATTGCTAGCACATTGGCACATCAACAGCTCATGATAGCTCAATACTAGACTATGGTCTCCCCTACATACATAAGAAGGTTTAATAATCTGTTTTGACCCATCTTCACGACTGAGGTAACCAATTTACATTGGCAATTCATCGGTTAAGAGACCAGACAAAATAACATCAGAGACAGCCCTAGCAAACCAATCGACCGGTACATTTAACACGATAGTATTTCTCCCACGTTGTGCGCAGGCGCCACTACATAGTCACTTGTAAAACAATCCTATTCGCCTTTCTGCCATATGTGCAAACGAATTTAAAAATGTAAATACGAAGAAACACGAAGTTTAAAATTGGGTTCTGACTCTAGAATTCAATTTCAAAAATTGTTGTTCCAGGTCTGGGTGTTATTGTGTATGTGAACTTGTATGTTTGTAAACGCACCCACGACATAGGCGAAAATTCTAGTGCCCCACGATTTTTCTAAATAAAATTTACATGAAATTAAATGTATGATAATAGAAGACTTGTCTGTCAGGTAAATTATTTATGTATTGGAAAATCAATTTGGCACAATTCTAGATGCCGTGATTGCTGACTAAGGATGTAATACTCGTACATAATATTAAATTCGGAAAGAATCTTATGGATACTAGTACGAAAATCTTTTGAATGTACCGAGAACTAGACAAGAGACAGAAGAATGTGTGTTAGTGGTCTAACAATAAATTGTATTCTACCGTAGTAAGAACATGATAGGAATTTAGAGTCTATTCATTGTCTCGAAACATGACTGAACTGTTCAATCTAAGCATATATGTACATATGTAATAAAAACTTATTGTATGTTTGTCAAGTGTGAATCTTTTCTACGTTAATGAAGTTACAGAGCCTGAACTTCAGTTACGTTCTTCAAAATGAATGATTTTGGTTAAAATGTATTTAACTTCCATTTATTGAATCTTTCTTATACTTGATGCATTTCTAATTTTATGAAGACGTCTTCACTGTAAATAGGCACCAAATTTTTAGCAATAGCCTTTTTCCCTTCATAATAGGATATAATTTTGTAATACCATAAACTACTAGAGGGTCTTGAGAATGATGAAGAGGTCACACAACCAATATATCTAATATATGGCTTGATAACCCAAACGAATTAACAGTACTTAAACCTTCATTTCTTCTAAGTCAGATCTGATTAATTTAGGTACATTTAATTTTCATTAACGATATATACCAAGACTTCCACCACATTTTCCCAGTCCATTTTCTCTCGTTATCTTATACATCCACAAGCAATAAGTCCCTAACACATTACGTAAACGCTCGTAAAAACAGTCGAGCGTTAATAGATTCGCGGGTTATTGTACCTCAGTAGGAAATGAGAAAAAATAATGCATTGTATGTGCATTGCGGTTATTGGTGCCGGCAATGTTGTTATTCTCAGCATTTCTGTCAGCTTTCGCTTTTTGCTGCTAACCAAGTAGGTTAACAGTTACTGAGATTTTTTTGTTAAATATTGCTCGGTTTCAATCGTGTGAGCTCGTTGATGTCTAATGTTTGGGAGATTCGATGTTTGCGTTTCGGTAGAAATTGGTGTTTAGAAATGACTTTTTATGGATTCTATTATTTATATTTGTAATATAATAAGTTAAAGAAATCTTATAATAAAGAGAGAAGACCTAAGAACTGGCAAATCATCGTGTTAAAAAGCTCATTAGAGACCCCACATTACTGCTGACCGCTACAAGACCCACAATTTCTTTAGTAGTGGAAAGTTTCGTTATGTTTGTAGCCATTTGTAAACGCTTAGACACTAGAGATGTGCCTGCGCCGGTGAGAGGCTTCGCCCCAAACACGGGCCGTGGTACGATGACGGCGTTGCGTCCCTAAATAATACCGCTATTATACGCTTAAAACTTCAAACAACATACCGGTGGACTATAGAAAAACACTCCTGGCAGGTAGGAACACTTTCTAAACAAAAAAATAATACAGTCCGTTTCACATTCACTGACACAACACTAGAAAAAAAAAACTAAAGGATAATAGTTCAAAAATATTTGAAAAGAATTTAAAAAATGTTTTGTGATGACACGATATGGTATTGGTTTATGCGCGTGCGCGGATCGCGCGTGCGTGGTGGAGTGTTGACGCGGTGCGCGGGACTGACGCGCTGCGCGGGCGCCGCCGACCGGTCGAGATTTCTCCCCGTAAACAACGAAAGCGAGCCTCCAAGCCTTTCTTCGAGTCGCGGCGAAACGAGAAAGAGGCCCTACTAGTTGTTCTCGAATATTTGAAACGTGAGATTGTAGATACAAAAAAAGTACAATAAATATTTATTTTGTTATGCTTTCAGTTATACTATTGTTAAATACTGTTAAATTGTGTATGGTGAATAATTAATATTTACCAAAAAAAAAAACAAAAACAGACATCCAACGTAACTGCGACTGTTAAGTAATATTACCGCTCAGTGTGTTAAATATGCTGTTGAAATTGGATCAATAGATAAGAAATACAGACTTCTGTCGTTGTTGCCATAATAAATTGACGAAGCCAAAACCATTAATAAAAAGAGAAAAATAAAGATACTTTACAAAAAAAAACAAAATTACCAGTTGAAGACCTTGAGATTTGGATATTATTAATGTCATCTCAAGAAAATTGTTTTCTTGGCTTAATGTTCATTTCGTTTAAGGATTACGTTTTTTGTTCTATGTTTAACATAAATAATATTAAGTAAGTACCAATGACTTCAAAGCAATCTAACTATCACACTAATATTATAAATCTGAATATTTCTTCGTTTGGATTTGGATGTTATTCCGTCAATCACGCTGAAACTACTGAATGGATTTTGATAAAATTTGGTATACAGGCAGGGTATGCTAGTTAGGTGATAGGATACTTTTGATCCCGATTAAATGCTCTCATGGGATAAGAAAGGAATCATATTCTACGAGGACGAATTCGCGGGCAACATGTAATAAAAAATAAATTAAAAACACCTTATAAATTCTCCTTCAAAAACAAATGGTAGGGGTCGTACCTGCTTTCTTGTAAGACTTTGAGTCACCGAGTCATCGTATTCAATGACACGAGACCCAGGATACACATATTCGGTCAAAGAGCCACAAAATGACTAAAAAATATGCAAATTTAAAATTACCACACCACCTACACGATTTTACAAACATGAAAAGGATAAAATCGAGATTTTATTGAATCATCCAATATGACATTTTAACTGCTAAGTTAGTATTTTGGTTGTTATCAAGTTACGTTTTGTAATAAATTCTCAAAATTGAGGTAAGTAGATGTATTTTTAGCTGTATGCTTGCAAAAAAAACAAATTGGAGGAGGTCAAATGTCCTGAAGAATTTTAAATGAATTTGAATAATATGAAGGATGATACAAATCAATTGTAAAAAGTAATGAAGGACTTCTCGTGAAGATTTAAAACCAAAGCGCTTGTTTAGGATATTGCGAATTAGTTTGTTGTGTTGAAACAAGACCAAGAATGCCGTGTCATCTTTATATGGGGAAACAATGTACCTAACAGTTGTTCCACATAAAATACTGGTATCACGCCAAAATTGTACGAGTTATAGTAGTGTCTGGGTTTTAAAAAGGAAAATTCGCGCAAATCCAAGTGATCATGTCAAGAAAGAGCTCGTGGTTAATTTCCGCAATGCCTTATAAGACTTACTTACCTAGGTATACCTACCTACATGCTATATTTTTGGCCTGTAAAAGTTAGCAAATAGGATGTTTTTCTTTATCTCATTGTCTAAAGATCACCCTGAAGACCACCCTGAAGACCACCATAAGATATCTGTAGAAATGTACAGAGCCAGGGATTCGTTGATACCTCTATACTAATTTCGCTATCGTCTTGTCGTCTACGAACGAAATATTATCAGCCTTGTAAACAAAAATGGAGGTCTTTACAAGTTCGATGCGTCATTTTTAATGATAGAACTGAATTTGTTTTTGAGGAAGGCATCTTTCATACAGTTTGAATACACTGAACTTAAAATCAGTTGCAGTTTATGTATGTCCAATTCAAAGTACGTTATCTACTCCAATAGAGCTGGTCAAGAAAAGGAATTATAAGAACCGTAACATAACCTCTATGAGTATGAGTTGTAATAGACATTAGACAGAGATAACTGTCTAGATAATAGTTATGTTTATTGTTATTGACTTGATCGATCGATTTGCTACTGACCTTAATGTACACATACTATGTACTTACAATGTAGACAGCTTCACATCAAGATACTCCAATCTGTGTGATTGCGTCAATCGAATATTAACTGCTATTATAAAGTCGTAAGGTTGAAAATCTAAAATTTGATACTTATTGTGTATTTTGATGAGCTTGCTAAAGTATCTACTTACATGAAATGAGGTTTAAGGTCTATTATTATTTTAGCAACTCTTTAAGAGGAGGTCATAGCTAATCACTCAAAGTTACTATTGAGTGGCAACTGAGCCGATAGCTATTGTTTTGTTAATAAAATATATGGGAGATGTTTCTTTGGCTTTTCTAAATAAACCATTAATAGCCATTAATTTTATAGTGTAGGTAGTAGTAGAGTAAGTAGGTGTTACTCAAAATGTTGTCATGATTAGCCTTGTTCTGGGAAGCATAGATTTGCAACATTAATTTTATTTTTACATTAATTAATTTCGCCGAGCTGTCGCAAGTGCGACTGCTGGGCAAGGTGTCTCGAGTTTGATTTCCGGATCAGGCAGAGTATTAATAGGTTTTTAAAAAAATCTCTGTAGTAGCACAGAGTCTGGAATAGGGATGATGACAGGGTATGAAAATAAAAAATCTAATTAGTCCGTCAGTTAGGTAATGAAAAATATTAGACACGTATTTTTTTATTTTGTTGTATTAAAAATGATACTTAGACATAACGAATTTGTTTTTTTTTTAATTTTGATATATCGTCGAAAGTATTCGTTTCTGTAAAAAATAAAAAATACGTGTCTAGGTACTATTTTACAATGATCCACCAGACGGACATTAAAATAAAAATTAGGCATCTACCCTACTGTACCCGGTATATGGCAATAGGCTCACCCCCTATTACATGGGACGCATAAAATAAATAGTGAAAATTGGGTGTTACATTGTACAGTGGCATAATATGCACCTCTGCCTACCCCTTCGCGGATAAAAGGCGTGATGTTCACGGATGAAAGGCACCCACGACACAGGAGAAAATCCTAGTGTGGGGCAACGTTTCTTATAAAAAAAAAGATGTTATGTTATGTGTCACTTATAAATACTTACATAAACATAATTATGTAAACAAATCAATTACGCCCGAATATCGAAAAGCAGTTTTAAGTTGTACTGAAATATCGTGCCATCTCTGTCATTTTACAAAGAGTTTGTAGAGACAGAACTATGTTTAAGAGCGACTTATAATTAAGTAGCGTTTGAGTAATTCGACATAAGTTATCCAATACATGCATTCTATAAATAAATACTTTCTAAACTTTCAAACTAAATCTTATAATCCTAATACTATCAGTTTGATGAATGGCTAGACGTTGGCAGGTCGTTGACCGTGATACAGCGTGCGCGCAAAAAACAGTGATCTTTTTAGGTATACATTGAGCTATGCAAAACCAATATAAGCTGATCGTTGAGTGTACTGAATGGTCATATAAAGTAAGACTATGATAAACTAGTTTTTTATAAGTTGCTGTATGTAGGTACTTGGGTTCTTGAATAAATGGTAATTAATTATGTATTGTGTATAATAAATGTTGCCCTACATTAGGATTTTCTCCTGCGTCGAGGGTGCGTTTACAAACATACAAGTTCATTTACACATGACACCCAGACCCGAAACAACAATTTGTGAATCACACAGAGTTACTCCGTGCGGGAATTGAATCCGCTACACGTTAAGCGGCAGTCAATTACCCAGCCACCGAGCCAACTGTGCAGTCAGTTTAAATATAGTATTTTTAAAGGTATTATGTTATTTCATCTTGTGTACTATTAATTAATGAAAATGGTCGTAAAATTAAAAATACTTTCCACTAGTGCACTGTGCAATGGGGTACTTGCCAACTAGTCAAATTCGATATTTTTTTTGAACTATCAAAAACGATAGTTTTCTATGATTGTTGTAAGAGATTGTATATTCTGACCTTGTGATTTTTTTTGCATCAAACAGCATACTTATTTCTTAAAAATTTGCTAAAAAATGTGATTATATTTTTTAAATATTTTACTGCATTGAACAGTCGAAATAGTCTATTTATCGATTAAGGAAAGTACCCAATTACTGAACATTAAAACCTCAAAATTTTGCTCGATCTAGAATTAGAGACCATAATCCCTAGCTCAACAGTCACCAAAACACCCACTATATTAACGAGGATATCATCTTAAAATATACTCAAAAACAAAATAAACGAAGTACCTAGGTAATTGTTAGTCAACAACTACCTACAAAGCAAGAAAACAAGACAAGTACTACAAAATAACAAAAATATTATGTCATTCACAACAAGAGCATTGTGTGCGCAACGAAATTCTTCAGAAGACAATAGACGGAAATAATCAAAATCTCATCATTCCGAGAAAGATCAAATAAAAATGCTTACAAACAATATTTTGCGAATGATAAATCATTCAGAAACAAGACAATGAATGTGGATAGAAAGTTTGGGTTTCATTGCACGGTTTGTGCAGTGGCTCAGTTGATGCACGTTTCGGTTACAATATTAAATTATAATTTGTGATGATTGACGAAAATATTTTATTAATAGATACTTATGTAATTGTTCGAGGTTGCGCAACTAGTTTCAAACGGCAACCGGGGCTTATAATCGTAACATGAGCCACGTCGTTCACCTTCATGTATTCTATTGTCAATATCTATCTAACGAGGCTTATACGGGTCTGCGGACGGCGAGCATGGGTAGGTATCTCGCCGCCCGACCAAAACCAGACCCGAGCGTACGGCGCGTCGAATTCCGCGCGCGCCTCAAGGAACCATCAGACCACCACGGATGGGGCCCAATAGGGCTGATGCCAATATAGAACCGAGAAGAACTTAACGGGTTACCGGGGCTCCGGTTTGAAGTGTGAAGAAGTCATTCGATGATTTTCCCTC